CTGTTCCCCGAGGGCTATGCAGGCCTGCAAACAACGATCAAAGGAGTTAGGTTATTCCACAGGGAAAAATAATACTAAACTGATAAGATAAGGGAAAAGGAAGCAGATACTTACAGTGAGAGAGGACCGGAGGATCCTGTTCTCGAGGGCATCATCATCGTAGGTCTCGAAGACCTCCCTGTCCATCTTCGAGGTGATACCCCGCAGGAAGGCCCTCGGCTCGGCAGTGCCGTGCATCAGGGAAGCGCCGGGGGCAAAGGAGAGCTGACGGATCTCCCGAGGTAATTCCTCCGGGGACGGATTCACCAGACCCTTCGGGGTGACCGAGGCCAGGGGCCCATCGGCGGCGGGCGTGTCATCAATAACAATGAGGGGGGCCGCCCCTCGACGGCTTTCTGCTTCTTGGTGGGGGGCTCCACCCCCTTATCATTCCTCTTCTTCTTCACGGCCGCCTCGGGTTTCGACCCCCCGGTCCCCACGGCAGCATGGACGTCCCCGGAGGAGGGCTCTACGACCTTCGGAAAAAAGGCGTCGGCTGGCTTCTGGCCCGAGGGCCCCTTCTCCTTTGACTGGGCCTTGCCCTTCCTCTTTGCGAACAGGGCGTTGGCATTCATCCTGCTACCTGCAAAGAAACAACAAGTTAAAAGGTTAGAACCGAGGGGTCAGAGACACGACAGCAAACATGACAGAAGATCTCAAAGTACAAAAATGTAAAGCCCCCGGCCACTACCTCCTGCTCCCACGAAGGCTTTATCGGTCAGAGGGGATACCTCAGGAATCCGAGGGCATACAGGTCTTCCTCGAGGATGCACTCCTTGATGGTTATGTTCTTATCCCGACCCTCCGGAATCTCGGCAATCTTCAGGCCATCCTTCTCGAGGGCGGCACTTTTGACCTTCACATGACGCCGAAAGCAATTCCGCAACTCCCTCGGGAAAGGGCTGTCGGCCAGTCTGATGTAGCACCATCGCTCTCTCCACCCCTTGTTGGAAGAAGGGGCCTCGGTGAACAGTTTGAACTGGGCTATCTGCTGTAAGTTCGCATAGCCCTCGGCATTGGTATGCCCCCCCCCCCCCCCCCCCGGCATAGGTTAAAGCTTTGGAAGAATAACTCCAAGCTCGGTGTAACCCCCCGGAGTTTGCACAGGTTCACAAACCCAGCTATGTATGAATGACTATTGGGGGTCAATTGGCAAGGAACCAGGCCAGTGTACCTCAGGTACTCCCGAAGGAACGGATGGAGAGGGAACCGGAGGCCCATTGAAACCGAGAGCACGTGCACGGCAATACATCCCTCGGGAGGCCGGGACAGCACGTCATCAGGACCCGGCTCGACTACTACGGCCGAGGGCCCTACGTGCAACTGGGTGATGTAGATGTCCGCCCTGTCAGCTTGGGACTTAATCTCCAGAGCGGCGGTGTCCAGGAAGGAGTAACCCTCTGGTAGATCAACTGGCCCCCCCTTGATCGACGGCCCTTACTTTCTTCTGGGGGCCAGTCTTCGTCTTCCTCTTCTTCTTCCCGGGGGCCACCCGGATGGGAACTGCATTCAGCGGCTGGGAAGTGCTGGCGTCACCAGCACCCCGAGGGGGAAGGACGGCCACAGTGACCTTCGCCCTCTCCTTCTCCTCTTCCTCCTCAGCAATCTGGACGGCGAGGGCTAACTCCTCATCTTCCGTGGTCCGCTCGAATTCCTCCGCCTCGGCCTCGGCCATCAGATCCTTCTGCACCTCAGTGGCGAGGGCTGCATCACCACCATCTGAGGGCTGAGCGCTACTGGACTCCACGTCGGAGATGCCTTCGTCCTCCATCGAGGGCGTCCTCGAGATGTCCTGAGAGTCACTCTGGGACGACATTCTAACTCTAGCTCGAGGTTTCGGGGGAACTAAGGGTTCTAGGGAACTCTGTCTCCTAACCCGAGGGCACAATGCACAGCTAAACTAGAAGGAGAAAGGCAGGGGGCACTGACCTTGAAAGCAGAGTTTTGACCGGAGGCTGGAGTTTCTCTCACTAGAATTTTGGGCAGAGCTTCGCTAAGATAAATGATCGCACAAGGGGAAATGGCTCTGGCCTTGGGGTATTTATAGGCGATGGAATCCGGGCTTGGGCCTGGATTCCGGGCCTCCGGACGGACCGTCATCATTACACACCGTCGTTTCACCCAACCGGTGACGCCGCCCACGAACAGCCAGCCATCACACGCCACGTGTGCCACCCCCCCAACGGCTATATCCTGTCGTTACATATTCCAACGGCTATATTTCCAACGGCTATATTCTGGAAGCCCCCGGGTTTTCTACTTCACTCCTCTTCATCAAGGATAGCCTCCGGGTACACTCATTCAGAAGTGCCCCCGGGTTGTGCCCCGCACAGCACATAACATCCGCCTTCGGGATCACTCCTTCACGAACCCGAGGCTTCATATCAGGGCACCCCTCGGGGTTTCCCCCTCAGCACTGCAAAACCGGGTAGCCCCCGGGGAGTGCCTCATTGACGGATGGCCCATGGCACACAGGTAATGGGAGCCCTCGGGTATCTTCATCACCAACTAATCAACAAACAGTGGACCCCCCGGCGACAGTTAAATTACTGCCCTCATCCAGCAGGCCCTCGATCCCCGGATTGAGGGGCTCCCCTTCGGCACCCCCAGGATATCAACAGCAAGCCTTCGGTTGATCAATACATGAGCCCTCAGGAAAAGAAGAGCCTGCAACATTACCGTATTCTCCATTTTTGACCAAGGTTTGACATTTTCGATTCATCATTGGGGGAATTCGGTGCACTCTTTTTCCCTCATTAGGATTTTTTCCCCCAGGGTTTTTCCTAATGAGGTTTTTAACGAGGCATCCCCCCAAAATGAAACGAAAAGCGTCAGCCTTCGGCCCACAACAGCAACGCAACTACTCTACTCCTTTTCACCACTTTACAAGTGCCTCAAGGAGTGGGGGACTGGAGGACCCCATCGGGAAAATCATTAAATTACAAAAGATGTAGAAATTCCAACAAACAACAGAGCAAGCCCTCAAGTCCCGACATGTGGGTAACTGAGGGGACAACATCAAGGGGCAAGCATAAATTACTCCTTTTCCCTCAAGTACCTTTCGGCAAAAGGAGTGAGGGACTCCTGATGGAGTATATGGCCCGGGAACCCCCGGCCCACAGACTCCTACTACTCCAGCGAAGGCCCAAAAGGCCCAACAGGCCCAAATCACAGCGCCCAGAGTACCAGGCAGTCCGCACTACGCGCAGGGGTGCCTTCGGCCCCCTGACCGAAGGCTCCAAATTCTCACAGAACGGGTTTCTCAAGCAAATTAAGAAACTGGGAGAAAACGGCGAAAACAGTAGCCCTCGGCACTGAGCCCTCGGCACCAGGGTGCCATCGGGTGGAAGAGCCCTCGGCTACTGCTCTATAGCCGAAGGCATCTCACTCGACAAGATATCCGCCTCACATACGTACAGATCACCGTACCCCGCACAGACGTCTCATCCAACAGCCGCATTAAATGCGGCCACATGCGGCTGCCAGCGCCAACCAGTTGAGGTGACCCCTCGGCCAATGAGCGCTTGACACGTGTCCCTGCCCGACATTTATTGCTACTATAAATAGCAACCCATTTCCTCATTTGTAACCACGCTGAAAACGGCATTCATACTGAATACACTCTCTCTCTACTTTTACTTACTTGCTCTGACTTCTCTCTAAGTTATTCCCCGTAATAACCCCTCGGATATATACACCCGGGTAGACTATCCATCAGTATGGTTGTAGTTGGGTAAGAAAAAGGTGAATGAATGTGAACCACATATTTTTTCCAAAAGTGGAATTTGGAAGAATTAATTGGAACGACCCAAAAAAGAAAATTGGAAGAAATGATCGGGATGGAGGAAGTATTCAGAGGGGTCAATTCCATGGTTTCCCAAACCAGCCTAGCATGACCGTAATTAATGTTCAAATTTATGCTTGCAATTAGTTTAAATAATGAGCTTAAAAAGTAAACATTCAAGTAATGAGGATAAAAATATACTCAAACCTTACATCGTGCGTGGGCCGGTTCCAAGTATCCAGGCGGTCCGGTTTCGAACCCGCACCCGTTATAAATTTTCTCCGATTTCAAGCTATAAAAAAAATTAGTCGATCTGAGACCAAAACCGCCTGGTTCGATCTCAAATATTGGAACTCGGGATCGGGTACAACTTTTATCCGATCGGGTACCCAATCATGAACCGAGAAAGGAAAAAATACCTAATCTGGTCCTAAATAGTACCGAACTCGTACTGGACTGAGTCCACCCCTACTCGTGTGCAAGATTCACATGTGTCATCTCCAACATACAAGTACATACTAAACTACAAGTTGATAGTAGAAAAATTCTAAAAGTACACAATTTTTTGTGTACACACTTTTTACACATGTCTGTGTAAGGTTTTTTTTTTGTCTGTACAGACAAAACGTATTTGACAAAATACATTTTGTCTGTACAGAAAAAAACCTTACATAGACACGTGTAAAAAATGTGTACACAAAAAGTGTGTACCCCAAACAAATTCCTTGATAGTATATGCATTGAACTCTTTCTTCCTTCAATTGAGTTTTTATCTCACTAGATCTTTTTACAAGATTATTTACGAAACAACACATTACAATAATACGAGATTATGAGATCAAATATTGTACTCTATTTTCCTTAATAATGATGAACATTCAAGGGGGTGTTGAAAATAATAAATCATTCATCTTCTAATTAAATATGGTTATGTTTTCATCACCATCATCAAAATATTTAGGAACTCATAATTCGAATTTATCATGATAATTCTATAGCTCACAATTAACTCCTTTTGCAAAATCAAGAACCACACTAGTAAAAATAATATTATTAACATAATCAGATCATCTCTCTCCCCAAATTTCTGTAAATTTTTCAGTATTTAATAGCAGTTAATTTTAACAACCAAAACAAGATCTTCAACTTCTAAAATTCTAACTCCTGTCAAGAAGGTATTGAAGTAAGGTATTGAAGTCAAATATAGCATTGGTAATGTTTTACAAGAAGTCAAATAAACTATCGTGGTTCGTGCCTTTCATGCATCATCCGATGCAATGTCCCATGATCATTTATATTGCTCAAGTGATAAGATGCAGTAAATTGCAAGTACATGGTTGCAACTATGAATCAGGCAGTCAGCGTAAAGATGTAATAGCTTCCTAACAAATTAGTTAATAAAAATCTTGTTCAAAATGACTTTTTGAAATGAAAAATTGCCAGGAGAAATATTACAAAAAAGAGGAATGGTTTGCAGACTACACTTGCCAGTTGCTACTTTTTTCATCCCTGAATTTTGTTACACGTAAGTGGGATGATAAAGAGCATTGCAGATTGAGAGTTATTCCCCATCAGCCATGTCAGCAACTCCATCAGTTCCATTGAAAGCGACGCGTAATTTCCTCAAGGAAGATTGCTTTGTATCACCTTTCCCAGCCATACCACTAACATGGATAACATCCCTGGATGTTTTATCCATGAGATCATACAATGGTAAATCCAAATTTGACCGAGTCATTTCTTCCAACACTTGTGGCGCTTGCATGTACAGATTCTTCCCTCGGTAAGTCACACTAGCTCTAGTTAACAACAGCTTTGGATGATCCTCAAGCATATCAATGAACTGTTACAAGTATACAAAAAGATCAGATATGATCTCAAGTAATGTTCATGTTATATTAAAACTAATATATCCAAAAGAATCTCCAAAGTAACATTTGTCCTCATACTTGTGTATTAGAAGACTCGAACCAAATAGACAACTAATATGGGTGGGCAACAAGACCAAAACCAACTCCTGAACAGGCTGTCCCAGACCACAAAGTTGGCAGTCCTCCTACATATCACTATAGATCCAAACATTGATAGCATGTTAAATTGGATCTAGTTTCCCGTTCACCCAAAAATGATCCTCAAGTAGATCAAGTTTAACTAGCTAAGTTGATGTTAAATTACTAGCAAGACTCAACCCAGTATGGTTCATGTAAATACCAAATACACATCTTTTAAGCACAAACTAGACTGGAAACCTAAATAGGAGGACAACTGAAGCCAAATTAGGCCCAAAAGGAGATGATAAATTGGACCTCACTTTAATACCATCTGAATAAACTGAGGTTAACAATTTAAGGTACGAACAAATTAGGCCAAACCACCCCCAACATAAGGGGTGGACAAACACAACCTAGCATTGACATCATTGATAAATTGAGCCTAACTTGGACTTGTATATTAGATAAGAATTGAATAAACACTTATTTGGGGAACAATATATTAGATTAAACACACAACAATAATGAACGCAACAAGAAATTTATTTGGGCTCCGGACAAGATGGTAGATGACCTTTTTCAAAGTGACTGAAGGTTCAAGTTCAATAAGAACACCAGGACCACAAACAAGACAGTCTTTGTCCTTCACAAATTCCGTGACATCCGCATTAAGACCGGCAACTCCATTATACCTTCAAAGCATTAATGGAAACACATTAGTTGACATCCCTTGAGGAATAGAAGAAGAATAAAAGCATTAGAAATGAAATCATTGAGCCTTTTTACATGAATATTGAATTATAGCTTCTTAAATCAGCTAGATCATAGATCAATAGCACCAGAAGGACTTGCAAAAGTTACAAATATCCATTAATGAACAAAAGTAGCAATCAGAAATAAATAAGTGAATAAATAGCAAAACTGAGCCAACACGCAGTTAGCAGCTAGCTATTTTTAGAAATTGCAAATAAGTAAGTTAACTTGTAACAAAGATTAAAAAATCCAAAATCTCAACCCCATTCTACATTCATTAGAACATTTTTATAATAAATTCTTATAGAACAAAATAATAACATGTCGGGAATAGACATACGTTAAATGATTGGACAATGATTTACTGCATCCAGAGACAAGTTTCAAGGTTTCCAAAGCACAAGCAGCTGAAATAATAGCATTTGTCGAAGCTATAGCAGGTACTATATTTTTCACAACACCCTGAAATAAATCGGAGAAAAAACATAAATATATACTATTAAAGAAAACCTGAGAATCATGGATTGGTTAGGAAAGTCAACCAAATGAGGATACTGAGAACGTTTTCAGGACTCCAAAACAGGTTTCTCCTCTCACTATACTATACCTGCGTGAAAGAATAAGTAACTCCTGGAATTCCAAAGAGCTCTGCTCTCTTAACAGCCTATAAGATCAAGAAAGAAAGAAAGAAATAGTTGTTTAGAGTCCACACAAATGGCATCTTAAAACTGAACGCAACCATCATGGCGGGTATAAATTCAGGAAGAAGAGGACTAGGAACCTCTGAGTAGACCCATTGCATGTGTTCAGGATTATCTGCATCAAAACTCTTGCCACTATGCACCTGCACAGGAATGAAGTTTCAATAGGGAGTCAATAAAGCAATAAATAACTATCCATAGGGTCAAGTTTGGATGTTCTGTTTTGAGGGGAGAGTTCCAGAGAGCCAAGTTTATATCTTGATGTATTTTCAGTGTATAGGTCTTTGACTATGAATTATTAAATTTAGACCCTACTCAGTGTATAGGTCCTTCAACTTTTACAATATCCATTGTTTCATCTGTTCACTGTAACTACTAATTAGACCCACTTGAGACTCATTTAGGTCATCAACTATATAATACAAACCTTACTTTAGAGTAAAGCATGGATGATGACTAAACTAAGTCTAAATTCCACAAATGAAGACCAAATTGACTATAAGACAAAAGTCTAGGACTGAATTGAGTAATAGTTTATAGTCAAAGGACTAAATCAGACTTAACTCTCTTATAAAAGTTGAAGGAATAACATAACGGGTGATCATAAACCATTTATAACACCCTTTATTCTTTTTTAGAAACATTCTATTTATAAAGATATGTACTACATTTACCAAAGCCTTAAAAATGGGGAGGGGGGAGGGGGAGGGAGGAGGGAGAGAGAACTGGATCAACATTAGTACCTCATCCCATTTAATTAAATGTGCATATTCAACACAATGAGCAGCAGTTCTTGGTGTTTCTGCTAGTGTACATAAGGGAAACTTTTCTTGTGGAGGAAAAAGCCAAATTGTGCACTCAAAACATGGAGTGACCCCTGGTTTTATAATCCTTGCATGCCCTTTGAATCCTTCAGTCCCACCATCCACCATTGGTTTAATTGTTTCTTCTATTAGGTTGTCATCACAGTCGTACTCTACAATTAAACACAAAAAATCAAGGGTAAAAAATATAAGTCTATTCAAATAACGTGCAACGTTTGTAAATAAGGTAATATCTACATTGAATAAGCAACAGAAATTTGGACCCAATATACAAAGTCAAATATATCTCTTGATAAGAATATCTGAACTCTCAAGCAGCAATAAGAAATAAAGGATATGTACCTCTGGTGGCCTTCATAAACTGGTGTTTAAGGCAGATACTTTTGAAAAGAAGTAAAAGTAATATTCAAGAACTGATGAGAGGGCAAAACAAAGTTCAGTATATATAAAAGAAAGACAGACCTAGGAATCCACATGCCACAGCATTTATGTAGCCTCGAGCTTCCATAGAATCAAGTCCAAGAACAATAATGTGAAAATCACTATAGAAGCTTATAGGTTTATCCTCTATTCGACAGAAATGCGGAATGATGTTCACGCCACTAACTCTTTCCATCACTCGCTTTGCAGCAACTTCAGCCTTTGGCTTTCCAACATCTTCAAGTCTGCGTGAATAGCCCATGAGAGTATTTCTAAAACATACTCCCTCCGGTCCTTATTAAACTTGACACTTTGACTTTTTGAGTCAAACTTTGTAAACTTTGACCGTTAATTACACAAAAACCGTATTATTTTATAATATCAAAATAATTTTGATTTCTTCATTTTCCTATATATTATTGAAATGTTGGTTTATTATAAGTTTTATAAATGTATATTTTTACATATCAATGGTCAAACATCAACGTTAGAGACCGTGAAATGTTGAATGTAAAGTTAATTAAGGGACGGAGGTAGTAAATAAACTGCTTAAGGCTTTGAAGTGTTGTAAGAGTCAAGAGTTCACCACAAGAAACTGTGGTTGAACCTAACTGGTAACAGGCGGGGGTTTTCCCCTCAGTTACTATATAAAAAAGGAACAATCTTTAACTTAAACGAGCCTACATTACATTTACATAAGCATGTAAACTCTCCATGCAAAGGCTGAAACACAATATAAAGAAAATACAGAATAGTAGAAAACTACAAGATACTATCGAATATCAGAATGCACACTGTTTTATAGCTGTGGTAAATGAACATATTTTGACTGTACAAAAAGTAAGATTTAAGAGTTGGGATCACACCATCAGTTTCTCAACATTATTGGTAGACTCATTCACGTTATCCAACACGGTTCACAATGTATTGGCAAGCATTAACTTTTTGAATTTTTTACAGATCATTATCCCAAAAGGTACACAAAAGGAAATAAAAACAAAGCAATTTAGCAATACATATTTGAAATAAAGCTGCACGGAGACTTATTGGGGACATTTTAAACTGTTAAATCCCAAGAAGACAATGCACCATGCTTCACGAATAGTCTCATTTCTTGAATTTTGTTTATACTTTATAACACATAAATACTTCACTGAAAAGAAACCATGTATACAAACTCATAAAAATGGACCTATTTAGCATGCTTAGGGAGGACATTATGATTGCCTTAACCATGTTTCCTACATTGCCAAACATGGTAGGAGTGACTAAAATATCAAGTCATGCATGCTCAAGAAAGAGTTGTACAGTAATGGTGAGACTCCACGGGTACACTTTAAACAACTATATCCCTTGTTATGAACTTTGCATGTTGTAAATGTACACAGCTGCGGAAAAATATACCAATTCTCAGAATGGATTTAACATTTGTCACAGCACGAAACTCAACACCCCCTTCATTAAATGAATACATAACAGTCGCTAAATCACCAGTCAAAACTCTAAAGTATTGTCTTTTGAGATAAAATAAAGGAAAACCAGTAAACCACAGCATACAAGTATATACCTGAAAAGAAATTGGCGATTGAGATTGGTGACTTCGATTCTGTCCATATCAATTACCTCAATATTTTGAAACCCCGATAAAGCCAAGTCCTTTAGCAATTCACAACCCAATCCTCCTGCTCCAACAACTAACAGTTTAGCAACCTCCTTGATATCATCTCTCAGCTACAATAAACAACAGAAATCATCGAAAAAGGTATATCAAATATGTACTGAATCCGGTCCGACTGTGTGAATAGAATCATGAGACATAAAGAAGTGTTTAGAGAAAACAAGGAAATTACTTCTTCGCCAGGTTCGAAAGATGGGCCAACGAGGCGGCCGGGACGAAGAAGGAGTTTGTCGAGGTCACGCGAACGGCTCTGGACAGCGGAACCCGCCATTGATGCACTCGAATTGATTCGCTAAGAAGAAACTTTCGCGTTAGTTTAAGGTCAGCAGTCAAGCAGAGTGAAGCTGAGTAGTACGTTCGGGGGTGTCCCCAGTCCGATTCCGGAGGATTTTAATTAAGTTTAGATGTTCTTCCTAACCTTTTTTGTATTTGGATTTCTGTGTAATCTATGATAAAGATGTTTTCGAACATTAGATGTATTTCTATATCAAAACAATCCACCACAATCTTGTAGACTCTTCTCGTATTTCAAAATTGATATTTTAAAATCTATCAAAGTCATAATCGGGGACACCCTTTAGGGGTGTTTGGAATTTGGATCTCTTGTTATGGGATAGAGTTAGGGGTGATTCGCTACAATAGTTTCTCTAGTACTTTGTTGTATCAAAACTCCGAGTATAAGAAATTTATATATCCTTACCTTACCCAAGTTTTGGTATACTGCATTTTGATATATACCGAAATTTCGGTTCGGTAACTGACTAACTGTACGGTATCAGTAAATTATCATGCATGTCTCTCAATACAACAAATTATCATAGATTAACAAAACATGCAAAATCGATGTTACTAGCGACATATTTAGTCCATTATTAAAAATATTATGAAATGCAAATAATAATACTCTATTGTTGTCACATTTGATATTGAACAATAATTATTATTAGTATATTTAAGCAGTTCAACATGCCACGTACGTATTACAAAATATTTTTTAATAACACACTCCTCCTAAAATAACTCTAAAATGTAGATATAATTAAATCAAAAGTGATCTCTTACACACAAAAATAAAATTACTCAAACAACATGGATATAAAATCATTTAGCCCTAATATGATGTTGTGTATTTAGTCATTTTATAATGTTTTAAAAAATATTTGAATAGGACTTTCGGTATAACGGTATACCGGTATAGTTTAGCTTTTATTTTCAAAACATATACTAATACCATACAATGCCTAAAATGTCAGTATACCTAAATTTTTGGTAAATCCGGTATTTTTCGGTAAGGTAAATGCGGTATACCGAAATCTCGGTATTTTCCCTCAGTCCTAGATGGAGTGTTACGTTTGAAATGTGTTACTAATAGAAGTGCTAGTAAGGGTAGGAAGGGAAAGTAAGCGTTAGTGTAAAACATAAACATACTTTGTTTGGGAGAGTTAAAAAAATGAAGAGTTAGTAACGAAGGTGTTTTAAGTTAAATTTATAATAATGTCATCATCTAAATTCTAAATGCAATGTTTATGACCGGGTTCGTTTTGTTTTTTACTTAATATCCTACAGTGTATGTACATTCGGCCCAACTAAGTAAGACAACTCATTAACTAATACAAGCCATTTTTCGGTGGCAATTTTGTAATTTAAGCGAAAAAACACGGTTTTCGCTAAATGAGCAATTGTGTACCTCTAGTGAGCATCTGATCTATTTTATTGAGTATTAGGAGACTAGCAATGAATATCATGATCTATGCTTCGTATCTTCTAATTCATTTTCCTTTTCTTATTTTTTATTTTATAAAAACTTATTAAATTATATTTATAAGAGTAAAATGCATAAATGGTCCTTAAACTATCATCACCGTGTCACTTTGGTCCTCCAACTAATAAATCTATCATTTTAGTCCTTATTCTACTAAAGGCATTTTAATCAAGTCCTTCTGTTAGTTTCCGTTAGTTTTTGCCGTTTATGGTCAAACATTCAATCTTTATTAAATTTTATGATACCTATATTTAATTGAAATTACAGTTACGACAGATTCTTTAATTGAATTTCTTAGCAGTGGCGGCAAATTTTTTAATTGGATTTCTTAGGAGCACTGAAAAAATTGGGAACCCTTTTTATTAATTTATCGAGTAAAATGCATAAATTAGTTTGTTCCATCCGGAAATCTATTCACTGGTCGGCTGAATTTAATACAATATCTTTATACTTTAGTACAAAGGTAAGCTAAGATTGATGATGCATTTGGTCATCCAGAAATAATTTCTTTATACTTTAGTACAAAGGTAAGCTAAGATTGCATAAATCCGACCCTCTTACCCTATCGAAGATGGGAGCTTTTGCGACACTGGGAGTGATGACGATGATGTTGATGCATTTGATTTTGAGAATAACTCATAACATTGTGTAATTAGTTGTACGTATGATGATTGTGAAAATGATTGGCCCTCATAATGTTGTACAAGTAGTTACTCATAATGGAAGTAATAACTATAAGGTAGCTGGCAGGTTGATTTCATAGAAGTATCCAAAAATAGGTTGATTTTGATACACTACTCATTGCCTGAACTTGATTTGTCTAATTGTAGAGGTTCGAAAAACTTGTAACACGAATCACATAATAGAGCTTCTATTACAGTCCGGTTTGGGTTTATTTTTTATGTAATGTTATTCATTGATTTTATTCTAAAATACTTTGTTTAAACATAAAAGCTAAAATGAAAACATTGTAGATGCGTAAATTTATTAAAATTAATACTTTATACTAAATTGAACAATACAAATGCATTTATATATTAGAATATAAACGCAAATTGAGATTGCTTACTATACTAATTCAAATTGTGATGACTTGAATACGCCAATGCAATCTATATTATAGAAATAAGAAGATACTTATGAAATTGAACCAAAACGTTGTTAGCGGTTAGCGGATTATGCTAGCGGATTGTAAGTAGCAGATTGAGTCAGCGGATTTGACCGGTGGATTAGTTTGGCGGGTTTCAGGAAAATGTTTGGTAACTCGGTTGTTTTATTTTAGTGGTTAATACATAAAAAGATAAAAAGGGACATTAGTCTATTTTTATGTATATGGATAGCCTATACCTATAAAAATATATTCCGGACTCTCTAATTAAACATGAGTCCGGATGCAATGTTCTAGCAATATTGGTCAACGATGACCATATTTGCTACCGGTCCTCTTTAGGCTATACTGGGACTTGGTGAAGGCCTCAAGAACAAAGATAAAACAAATCCAAAATTAGCCGACTTGCCCATGGGGAGTCATGCATCACACAACGAAGAGGAATTATCATCAACACTAGACCCATCTTGGCGGAGAAGATGATCTTTCTCAGGTCGGATCGACCCATCTGCCAGGCATTCATGGCGAAGGAAGCTCTCCCATAGCTTGACAACCTTCAAACAAAGCCCAGAGCGGCATAATTTCGGCCTATCTCTGTAGTCAAGAACAAAACTTCAGAGCTCAGAGGAGGGGTCGACGTTGCATCTGGGCGACAAAAGCTAAGGAAGAGCTTTTTTTAAAACACTGCGGAAGCTTGCTATAGTTTTGTTGTGTGGAAGAACATGGAAGGTCTGTGAAATTGGAAAGTAGGGGAAGGTAAGACGGAGAATTAATTGGGTAAGAGAACCGCTGATCATGAAATGCTCAACTCTGCAGCGTTTTGTTTTTCAGCAGTTGGGTCAAAAACGCCTTACAAACACGCCATCTGCCAAACACCTAATATTAGCGTTTTGACCAATTCAAAACGTTGATTTCGGTCAAATCAGTCAATTTTTGGCTGAAAGCCATTCATCAAACAAGGCCAAAAATGCAACCATTTTAAATGCAATTTTTTGTAGATGAATGAATAAAATTGTAATACGTAAAAATAATGTTAAATAATGCTAAAAAGCATTTTAGATTTTCTAGTTCTAAGGATTAGCGCACTAAAAACGATGAAAACTAGCAAATTAGTCTAGAAGTATTACTCTCTCTACCTCATAATTTCCTTCCCATTTTCCTATTTGAGTGTAAAAAATTCTCTTCAATTCATTTCCTACCTTTTTGGGGTTTTTGTTGGAATAATTTGTGTAATTGATATCCATCGATCTTTTTCAATGTGAGAAGCCATTTTGAGACAAAGGTAGTATTTGACAACTTATATTTTTAGGCACACATTAATACATTATAGATTATTTAGTACCAAAACCTTGAAAATTGATAAGGTTAGTATACACATATTGTTTAATTATCTATTCAAATGATTTGATAGTAATCTTGCATACATTCAAACTATAGAGTATCAAATTACACTAATTAAATTTCAATTTTCATGTCTATAATTAGTTTATAGAGTTGGAACAAGGAGTTGAGCCGCTTTTTGATTGTGTTCAAATACTAATTCAGATATAAAATTTTGACCACTCATAAATCAGTCCCAATTTTTTATCTTAACAAAGTATTGCTGAATTAACTCATGCCCCCAATAAATCTTTGTTCTCGATTCGACATTGTAGGGTTTCGAACTTCTCTGCGTATATACTCCGTAGTTTGTGTTATGTAATGTATAAATATACACTACTCCCTCTTAGCCCAAGCCCATGACTAGGCCCATGTATCTCCCTATATATACCCCTCTATCCCCTACTTGTAGAGACACACGAATGATATAATAACACGTTATCAGCACGACTCTCAAAAACCGTCCGCCTCATTAAACTATTCGTTCCCCCCTTCTAAAACGCTCGCCGGCTCCCACAAAAAGAGGATCGCAAAAAGAGCTCCCCTTCTTCTCGATCGATTTTCGTCGATCAAATCCCTAGAGGCCCATCGATCGGTTTTCGTAGCCAGAGCAAAACGGAAGCTTCGTCCAGCCTCCTTGATATCCATTTTGTCGTCTCTGTGTCGCACGCCTGCTCCAGCGAAACAGCTCCTGTTCTCTCCATCAATCGGCAAGCACCATTTTTTCCTCCCCAGAGAAAATCGCAGGTCTTCTTTGCAGGTATTTCCCTTGTCTAATTCGATCATATGTCCTAAATAAACCATGATCTGTTCTCGTTGTTATTCAAACTTGTAAATCAATTACTACTCTGCGTTAAACTTGAATTATTTTTGCAAACGAATTAATACAATGAAATTGCTATTGAAAGAATCGTTTGCTGTGAACGGATTTTTTTTTTTAACCTGCTACAATTGCTAAGATTCATGTCTACATAATTAGCCATCCTAAGAATGAGAACCCATCATTGATCGGGTAGTCTAAGACCAAATTTAGTCCTAGGCAGAACTTTTGAAATGCAAAATTCACCCTAGACCATATGCAGAATGAGAACCCATCATTGATTTGGGATGTTTGAACTGGAATTAGGAAGCTTGTAAATGACTAAATGTTTGTTTACAAGAAAGCTTATTAATGGTATGTGTCCTGTTTT